CAGGGTTTGTTTAAAGTGCGCCTAATTAAAAAAATACTGCGTGATCGCCGCCTAACGCGTGGCGCGTTAGGCGGCGATCCCGGCTGTGGCGGCTGCATTTCCGATGGAGGCGGAAATGTTGTAGGCCCGTGGGCTCAGATTTGGGTGCACGTTAAAGAACCCCAGGTGGTCGAAATTTCCGGAGCCCTCCACTACGGCGTCTCTCATAATCATGAAGTGGTTTTGGGACGTTAAACCCCACATATCAATCAATCAACGCGTGGTGCTTTGAGTGCCCTTAAATGTTGAACAAATAAAAAAACTTCTTACGCATGAAGGGCTCACGCACGAAAAAGCTTTTGAAGACCCACTCGTTATGCTATTCGCATTGTGTGACGCCTGGTTGTTCTTTTGCCGTTCTAAAATGCCTTATTGCTCATAATATAAGGCGATTGCTTTCTCTACATCAAGCCTGCCAATCAAGGAGGCTTGTTGTCGGAAAAGCAATCGGAAATCAATCTTAGGCAGGCTTGATGTCGACATCAAGCCTGCTTAAGCCTTAAGCACCGGCGTGGCTCAGTTGTAGAATAGAGGGCTGGCACGCAGCGGACCTGGGTTCAAGCCTCGCCATGTCCTTGGTACTAGGTTATTTCGTGGGAAGTGGCTACGGGCACCAGTGGCAGCGGACAACTAAGGCGCAGCGCATGACCCGAGTTGTGATCTCATAACAGCATTCGCTGTAAAAATGTCGGCACACTCACTAACTAAATACTAACCATTCACTTGTCACAGAATACACTTGCATCTTAGTAAGTTAATGTAGTAAAACGCAGGTTAGCGAACTTTACTACCTAGATAGTAGAAGACTATATTGCTGAATCGAATGGTTAGTGCATACTAAATTGTTAGTAACCACGGCAATAGAGGTTTATGCCTATTTCGCTTTCTGTACTTGTGCGTGTGCGTCACCATAACAAGGTGATCCTATTTCAAAAGTATCGGATAGAAAATTGAAGTGACATTGCCCTTGTGCATTAGCTATTGGCTGATTGCTACTTCATGTAACTATACCGTGGTAAGTGCGCATCATAGCAACATACTTATAGAAATGTGATCATTTATTTATTTATTTACTATTGCGATAGGAATTATATATGTAGACACCCTCGGCTGGATTTGGCCGCCGGAGTCACCGTCACTCACCGTATATATATCCGTATCTATACATGTGAAAATGCAAGAAAGAAGAAAAAAAACAACACGAACAACACTCCGGGGTGCGCAATCGAACGTGGGACCTTTGCGTTGTGAAAGCGAGGCATCAACCACTGCGCCCCCCCCCCCCCCCGGAGCACGTCCTTCACCGTTGAAATGGCAATGTATTTATATCTACCACTTACCACTGCTCACGAGAATCTCGGGGGAATTGTGCTTGCCACATTACCAGCAAAGTGGCGCAATAATGAGCGTGCGTCTCCACATCGCGCGGCGGCACCCGCTATAATCTCCTACGCGTACTTTCCCCTGCTTAGAGGAGGAAAGCGACGCTTTCTCGCGCGCCCTTATCTCGCGGTGGCGAGGAGGGGAGGACCGTGCGTCTTGACTGCCCTCGGGTACGCTACCCTACCCCGGGCTTTACCCGGAACGATTCTGCTGTAGTTACCGGGCGCACAAAAGTCACTGCAATCATTACAGTCTCCGTTTGCGAAAAGTGCACGCTTTTCAGACACAGCGAAGTAACAAATGAGGCGCTTACTCGCGTACATCCGCATTTGTAAGTACGTTTAGTGCGTAATTTGCGCATGAGAAACGCAGGGCACGTTTCGATTCGCTTTCCATTGTGCGGGTAACCTTTCAATTTGCTGACAAATATGCAAAAACAACAAGATGAAACAAACTTTGTGGCAGTAAGCGCTCACAAAGCCAGAACCACCCACATTACAATACCCCACACAGCATAAGGTTCATACAAGCACTGATCCCGTACCCACATAGCACAAAGTGGCGGCATGCACTATCACCAGGAAGGAGCCAATGATTCCTTCACCTTGTTCGAACTACATGCCAAAAGCAAATGATCAAGAAGCATTCAAGCCTTTGATGAAACATATTTTGTCAGCTGCATGTAAGCTCTCTCTCGTCATCACAAATTACTCTAGCGATACTGCGCTTATTCAGTGAGGCTAGCAGACAAGTGGGTTTACTCATGTAAAATTACAACTGCGCAAAAATAACGAACCCAACTACTTGTGCTGAGCCGTTGTCACTATAAAATTTCGAAAAGCCTCGCGGAACTGAAAATACCTAGGTTAACACCACAGAATCGCGCTAAACAACATGTGCTGCCCCATAGAGCCATCTTAGTCTAATGCATGAATTACCTAATGGGCTAGGTTTCTATACTGCGGCTTCACGCCATGAAATCTCTAGTCTTTCTCGTAGTCATACTTGGCCGCGAACAAGCGATATCCTTGAGCAAGTGGCAAGGGGATCGGAGGCTAGCGCTAAACACGCGCTGTTCCGTGCTGCAGCTGATTCAAAATTCACAAAATAAACTATTAAATCCAAACAAACAAAACATGACTTGATTGATTTGTGGGGTTTAACGTCCCAGAACCACAATATTATTATGAGAGACGCCGTAGTGGAGGGCTCCGGAAATTTATACCACCTGGGGTTCTTTAACGTGCGCCCAAATCCCAGCACAAGGGCCTACAACATTTCCGCCTCCATCGGAAATGCAGCCGCCGCAGCCGGGATTGAACAAAACATGGCTTGTTGACAGCTTGATAAAGTTCATTTATTTGTAGAAACTGGTGAGAGACAATCGACGTTAGCCTTACTTTGTTCTCACGGATCTTCGAATGCCCGGTTAACGCTACGAGCGCGCATGTTCCTTGAAACCAAATTAGAAGTGAGAGCAAAGTTTCCGGAGCCTGATCTGCTCACATATAACACGAATAGTAGCAGGCACTCCGTGTTCAAGAATAAAACGGGACTGCTGGAATACTTGCGTATATTCGTACAGTGGGCACTGAACCCTTGCATCTTACCTACAAGGCATACGTTTGTTGCTAATCCGTCCATGCACAGCACATCGTTTCCATATAGGCTGTTTTCCGCAGCGCCGAACGGGCTTTACCACGTTTGAACACTTGATCTAATGGCTTTCTCCTTTCCACTTCTTCCCCGTAGCCGATGGCTGGCCAATTTGCCGCCGCCGCTCCTGGGTTGAAGGCCATCATAGTGGGCGCAGTGCATAGTCCGCGCCACCCATTTCTCTTTTTTTTTGTGTTCTTTCTTTTTTGTCTTAGGCACTCCGTCCTTTCTCCTTATGGCTGACAGAAATTAGGTGCATTTTTTCTTCTTCAAAAATCCCAACCACCACCGTTCCTCGCCCTAGGCTGCAACGCTACGTCCGCCACATGCCACATCGCGCGGACGAGGAGAAGGCCGTGGCGCTTCGGTGTGGTGGTGCCATCTAGTTTCGCATAAATAAACTAGCTGTGGAAAACGTTTTATAGGTACTGAGGCAAGCACGGGGCGTTAAATGTTATCCGCATTGTTTTGCTGCCCGTTGAACTCAAGAGTTTTGCCAACGTCGAAACACGCCTCAGAACTTCGCGCAGAGAACGTGAGAGGGCGGAACCCGTGTGCCATCGCAGACGAATTTTACGAGCGTCCATGCTGCGCATGGGCTGCACTGAGTAATAAAGGCGCTGGCACTAGAAAGAGGTTTATCGTAATAATAGAACACTGTCATAAATCCCTTGCTCATTACACCTACAAAATATTGTTTGGGGAAGAAATGCCATTTGTAAAACATAGCGACTGCTTCCGTTGACGAAGACGTCGTATTTTACTAGTATACTTTGTTCTCTCCAAACATAGTCGCGGTTCAATCGCAGTACTTATAACTCCCCCACAGTAATTAAATCATGATTGAATAACTATGCTAATGCCCCATGCTAATGCCATAGACAATAGCTCCCGCAAAACTCATCGCCCAAAGTTTTGCGACAGACCTTGAGCAGATTGCTCGGATACGCCTCCCATCCCCCATTTAGCCAAGTGTCAGATAAACCATGAAGTAAATTTTTAGTCTACATTGACGTACATATTGCTATGAAATATTCAAAAAAGTAGTTTTGTGTTTTATTTTATTAATTTGTTTCTCCTTCAATCGTACAGCGGGCGTCGATACCCGTGGTGACAGGTGTTTGGCCTCTATACCTTCCAAGGTTCATGACCGATAAGATTTGACCATGGACATATTCCCTGTGGTCCTATTCATTGTAGGTGGCGTTGCATTAAACGATTCTAGGAGCTGACGGGATAACACGTTCGTTTCCTTGGCAACGATAGCAGCATTATCCCGGTCAATTATGTGATTATGTTCATGCGCACGTTCAGCAATGGCGTGTGGCTGTTAATAGTCACGTGACGTTGGTGCTCCTTGAGACGTCCTGAGTAATTTCCGGTTTCACCAGTATACACTTGACAGCGCATGCTATGCGTGACCCCTGGGTCACCCGTCAGTGACGGTTGCTGCTCGGGACGTGAGGAATGTGCATCCCGAGAATACGCGGACAGTGGTTCGCTCAATCTGGAGTAGACGAAACGTGGGCTGCAGCTCGTGGGGCGTTCATGCTACTTTCACCCGCGACAGCATCAGAAATCGCTTTTTGCCTATACAAGGGGTCTTGAGCTTCTTGGTCATCCGATAACTTTGACATATTGAAAACTAGTGGCGTTTTACTCGCACAATTTACGAGATATGTGGTATCGTGTACGAACAAGCTCGTTTTCAAACATTTCTTCATTTTACACTGACAGCATCCCTGCACTTTGTGGTGGTGCTGCTGACATTCTATTGCAAGCAGGCTATTATGTACCTGAATCTACCCGGAACCGTTATGCTTGGACTAGTGAAAGCTCAGCGTGTTAATGAAAGCGCGCTGCTGGGATGAGCTGCATGCAGGTGAGAGAAATGTGTGTGACGTGCTGGGCTGTCTGTGCAGGCGCACCGGATCACGTTTACCCAGCGACGGCGCAGTACGCTGCCCGGCTGCCTGTGCGCATCCCTCGCTGCTCTTTGCCTGACGCTTGGTGCGACAGTGGCCGTCTACTACGGAGGTCAGTGGATTCCTGTATGCACTGTGTGAGACAGTACAAGTCAGCGTGAATCTCACACGCAGGCACAAAGTATATGCGTAGACTACCACGTATACTTTGTAAGTATGTCATAGTGACTTAGACGTCATATTACAGAGAAGCGCTCGTGGACTGTTTCATGATATTTTTACTTATGATTAGTTATGTTTTACCCAAAGACATCTTCTTTTGCCTTTTTATTTTTTTAAAAATAGAAAATCACAAACTCAAAATTCATGAATACCGGCCCAGGACATATGTGTATGCTAATTCCTTCTTTCTGGAGCCTGCAGCAGAATGGAAGAAGCTGTCTGAAGAATAAGTATGTTGTGAAAATGAAAAACAAATACATTCGTGTCTATATTGTAACCCCCCTCCCCCCTGCAGTAACGCATAAGAAATAAGAATTAAAGAAAGATAAAAAATAAGGATTAAAAACAACACATTGTTTTACCGATCATGGAATGGAAAAAATACTTTGAGCGCTTTGCTCTAAAATACCAAACTTTCCAATGGTTCCATGAACTGTTCACAAGAAGCAACTTGACCATGAACCTGTCGTCTGTCTAAATGACGGGTGTAATTTTCACCTTCAGCCATATTACATCCAAGTCATCTTTTATTCGAATGTGATAGGCATTTGTTTCTGTTCTTGAAATATTGAATGGAGACAGAATGAATGCCTTTGTATTTTGTGGAACAAGTCGCATTAGAACGCATCCTTTTACTATACAGGCATCTACATTAATCTAAATACGCGTGTGAAATACGTCAACGTCGCTTATATGACTGCGTATACTGCAGCGCAGCGGAAAACAATGCGCTGATTAAAACTATAGGCCTAAATTACCCAAGCTAGAATATACGCTTCATATGTTAAAAGGAGACCTGTGGTCTTATTATCAGGTCACATATGCAAATTGCAATGGAAAATAGCCCTTACGGGCATGAATTATGCTTGGCTGTTTGAAGTATGTCAAATTCACGCAATATATTTTCGTGGTACTCGGTGTGAAATCCAAAGGGGAAAATGAGGTAATACACTGTTATATGCTAATTCCAGTAAAGAGTGATAACTAGCTTGTAAGTTGTGGGGTCTCGATACGGCGAGCGAGCACCACGCCACGCTCTTGGAGTGAACGTGCACAGCAGACGTGATCGGTACAAACCAAACAACATACATACATTTATTTAACTAATTTATAACGATGATATCGTCCGCCGAATTGATACGTAACTCGTTATGTAATACGCTAGGTCATCGTTATGCAATAACACGACAAACACACTAACACACCCAAGGCGGCGTCGCCAACGCTTGACTTACCACGTGGGCCCCCGGCGTCGCAGCCCGCGGTGCCACGCACCGAGGACCCACGCTAGAGCCAACCGTTCGCGGCAACCGCCACGCGCAGAAGAGACTTGCTCAACTCTCGCCCGCCACCAAGGCTCGCTTCCGCCAGGGTTACCTGCCGGCGCTGCCCCATGATGATGATGATGATGATAAGGGATGGATGGATGGATGGATGGATGGATGGATGGATGGATGGATGGATGGATATGGCTGCACCCTTAAGATCGGGCGGTGGCTAGCGCCACCAAGCTGTAATACTTAATGAACCCAAAATTATATTTATTTTTTTTTCTTAAAAAGTGAGTTTGAGGATTCGTACTTTGCAGTGAAGAGTTTAATTTTCACTCGTGCCTTGACTTTAGCCACCAATCAGATAACCTCCTTCTAGTTAAGTCTACTTGCTTAAAGTCTATTTTGCCCTCCCAGCCCCTAAACCCCAGTGCTTTGAAAAACTCTGCGCCATCATCCTGAACTATAGGGTGAAGCCCTTTACAGAACATTATCAAGTGTTCGGCAGTTTCTTCTTCCTCTCCACACGCACGCATACTATGTCTACCCCTTCGTATTTGGCCCGATATGTCTTGGTTCGCAGTACTCCCGTCCTTGCCTCAAACAGTAGAGAAATACCCCGAGTATTATCATAGATCCTTTCCTTGGCAATTTCCTGCTTAAAAGTTCGATAGATCTCTAGTGCGGACTTCTTAATCATGCCCATTTTCCACATGTAAGTCTTCGTTTCCTTCACTTTCTTCTTAACCGATAGTTCTTTTTGGTTTGGCCACCTGCTGTTTTCTAAGTATTTACCAGTCAACTTCCTGGTTCGCTTCCTCCATTTTGTATCGACATTCTTCACGTACAAGTAGCTGAAAACCTTCCTAGCCAAAGGCTCCTCATTAATTTCTCTCAATCGCTTCTCAAATTTTATCTTGCTGCTAGCTTCCCTGCCCTATAATGATGTCCATCCCATATCACCTTGTACTCCCTGATTTGGTGTATTCCCGTGAGCTCCTAAAGCAAGCCTACCTATTCCACGTTGCTTAATTTCTAATCTTGCCTGAACTTCTGATCTCATGCGCAAGACCGCATTGCCGAACGTCAGCCCAGGAACCATGACCCCTTTCCATATTCATCTCACAACATCATGCCTATTGTAATTCCACAGTGCCGTATTTTTCATCACTGCTGCATTCCTGTTACCTTTAGTTGTCACGTATATTTCGTGTTCCCTCAGGTACTCGGTCCCATTGCTTATCCATACGCCCAGATATTTGTATTTATCTGTTATCTCTAGCGTGACCTCCTGTATCCTAAGCTCACTACCTTCGTTGTCATTGAAAATCATGACTGCTGATTTTTCCTTACTGAATCTAAAATCTAACCTATCTCCCTCATTACCGCAGATGTCCATCAATCTCTGCATATCTTCCTTGTTGTTGGCCATTAGCACTATATCATCTGCGTACATTAATGCTGGTAGTGCCTGATCACTAAGTTTTCCTTGTTTGACTAAAGAAAGGTTGAAGCCCAGCCCACTTCCCTCTAATTTAGCCTCTAATCCTTGTAGGTACATCATGAATAATAAGGGTGACAGAGGGCACCCCTGCCTAAGCCCCCGTTTTACCTCTGCAGGCTTGGATACCTGTTTTTCCCACTTTATAACTACCTTGTTACCTTTATAGATGCCCTTTAAAAAATTAGTGACTACATGTTCCACGCCTAGTGTGTCCAGTATTCCCCACAATTCTTCAACCACGCTATCGTACGCTCCCTTGATATCCAAGAATGCTAGCCACAGGGGCCTGTGTTTCTTTTCTGCTATTTCGATGCACTGCGTCAGTGAGAACAGATTGTCTTTCAACCTCCTGTGTTTCCGTAACCCATTCTGCAGTTCCCCCAGCACCCCCTCATCTTCTATCCACGCCTGCAGTCTTTCCTTTATAATCTGCATCGCCAGCCTGTAGACCACTGATGTCACTGTTATAGGACGGTAGTTGTTTATGTCAGCTTTGTCCCCCTTTCCTTTATAGATCATGCTCATCCTGCTAAGTCTCCATCCATTGGAAACTTCACCATCGATTATTATTGTGCTCACTGCCTCTCTCAAAGCCTGCTTAGATTTCGGACCTAATGTCTTTATCAGCCTAATCGGAATGCCATCTGGGCCTGTTGATGTACTACTAGGAACCCTTTTCTCATCCCTTTCCCACTCTCGTTGTGAAAATGGAGCCATTGCACCACTTGATTCGTCCTTGTTATTGTGGTGCATAAAGTACTTCTTTGTTGAAATGTTTCTGTCACCCTTGTTCTTATACATTCAATAGCTTCGTCCCCTTCTAGCCTGGCACCTTGGGCTGTAGTTATAAAACTCTGCTCTAGGCTCGTCTCATTTCTTAGGGAGTTTAGATGGTTCCAAAATTTCGCAGCTGCCTTTCTATATTTTTTATGTACTTCTGCCGGCCACTGAGCTCTCTTTCTTCTAATCTTTTCATTGATCAGAAGGGATGCAGCCCTTCTACAGCTTAGAAAGGTTTCCCATTTTCTTTCAACATCATCTGTCGGTTCACCCCGCTGCTTAGCATGTCTGTGTTCCCTAGAGGCTTCCTGACGTTTTGCTATGGCTCTCTTAACTTCCTCATCCCACCAACTTTTGGGTTTGTGCCTTCTTTTCCGGGGTGACTTGTTACGCGTCTTAGCAAGCTCTAGCTCAAAGAGTCTAATTAGATTCGTGTATGTCCACACTGTCTTATTATCCTCCGTGATTACTTTCTCAATTTGTTTAGTGGCTATTTCAATTTGCCTTTCTGAATAAAAATTTTCCTGTAGTTGCTCATCTTGTCTCCTTCCCACTTTCACTGCCCTTCCAAAACTTAGCTTGATACGTTTGTGATCACTACCCAGACTTCTGGAGCCACCTTCATCTATGTGCATTCCCCTGAGCTTATCATACATCCTATGTGACATCAGTGCATAATCTATCGTCGACTACAGCCTTCCTACCTCCCATGTTATTTGCCCTTCACACTTCTCGGTACTGTTGCAAATGATCAAATCAAGCCTTTCACATATATCCATGATCATTTTGTCTGTCGGGTCGGTATACCCATCTATATCTTCTATGTGCGCATTCATGTCTCCTAGTATAATTATCTCGCACTCTCTTCCTAACTCCTGAATGTCCTTTGATATACACTCTACCATTGCCTGGTTTTCCTCTCTGGCCTTTGCTCCCGTCCACAAGTACACGAAACCAAGGAGTGTCATTTGACCTGCCACTTTCCCTTTTAGCCATAAATGTTCCTCGCACTCCTGCTTGACCCTTTGCCAGTCTGTACTTTTATGAATGAATGCCCCAATACCACCCCCCTTTCTGCTGCCTTCTGTTCTATTAAAATATTCCCACGCGTAGTCCGGATTGTTCGGAGCTTTTTCCATGTCCCTGAGATGTGTTTCTACAAAACCGTATACCATCGGCCTGTCTTCCCTTAGCTGTTCTTCTATCTCTTCCCACTTTAGCCTGTTCCTACCACCCTGCATGTTAATATACCCTATGTCTGAATGGGCTCGGCGCTCGTGGCTACGTCTATTTATGCCCCGGACTCTACCTATCTTAGACATTGGTGCCACTTTG